GTGTGAGTGCAGGGCTGGGGGGGATACTGAGTGTGAGTGCAGGGCTGGAGGGGGATACTGAGTGTGAGTGCAGGGCTGGAGGGGGATACTGAGTGTGAGTGCAGTGCTGGAGGGCGGATACTGAGTGTGAGTGCAGGGCTGGAGGGGGATACTGAGTGTGAGTGCAGGGCTGGGGGGATTACTGAGTGTGAGTGCAGGGCTGGGGGGGAGACTGAGTGTGAGTGCAGGGGTAACTGTCCTCCTGTCCCTATCCCCCCATACTGTGTGTACCCAGGGGGTAACTGTCCTCCTGCCCCTATGCCCCGTACTGTGTGTAGCCAGGGTAAACTGTCTGTTTGTTTAATACCCTCCCTTTGCCCTGTGTACAGGTCAGTTCCTTTAGTTTAGAATTAACTGCTCCTTGTTGGACTCGGAAGATATGATGGGGTGGGGGTCTGTCAGGTGATGTTTTCTCAGTAAATCTTGGGAGTTTGGCAATATTCTGTCCCAGACTGTGAGATGGGCTGAGCTCATCGCATTATGTCCTCCATACTCCGATAAAGACAGACTGGTGCCCCCAGTGTGGGCTCGTCTCTGCTCAGTGACTGTCTGCAGTGTTTGGGTAATATATTCATTGCTTTATTTATACCGGGGAGTAAGTGCCTTATTGTACTGGAAGCAGCCACAGTCTGCCTGCTTAATGCTGGGATTTTGCTGTGCTTTGAGTGCACAAATACATCCCTATGGGGTCTCAATCAAATATTCAGCAAAATCTTTTCCATTTTTATTTAAATTGGAAAATGCCAAAATCCTGGCCTTAAAAAGAAAACATTTCACTAATTTCACAGTTGGATTTTGTGAAGCGATTTGTTTTTGTGCGTGACTGGCAGTTGCTGTGATCAGTCCTCACACTGGGCTCTGTGTTATAACATTTTTAACCCCTTAAGGACACATGGCGTGTGACATGTCATGATTCCCTTTTATTCCATAAGTTTGGTCCTTAAGGGGTTAAACATGCTGTGCTTTTGATTTTGATCGGTTTTAATGTGTTTTTATAAATGTAACTGTTCTTTTTTCGGATCTAGAGTGGAAGAATTCCTCGAGCAGAATATCGCCCGCATGTGGTGTGGTGCAGTGATTGTCGTGGTGACCCATCCCACCATGAGATCCCTATATTGTATTTTCTCTAATATAAAGAATATGGAAGCCTTTTGGTAAGTAGTGTTTCAGTAAAATTAAATATAACTTTTTATAAGTGAAAGAGAACATCACTCTTAAAAATAGAGCATAGCATGGAGAGTGGCTAACTTTAAACTTGCAGGCATTCGGCGTGAGCACTGTACTGTATTTTTTATGAGTGATGTGTAACTGGGATCTGCGGTTTTGCTTGGAGACTTTCCCACTTAATGTATTACATGTAACGTGTAACTGGGATCTGTGGGTTTTAGCCGTGTTTATCCACCCTTCCATGTGACGTGTAACTGGGATCTGTGGGCTTTAGCCGTGCTTATCCACCGTCCCGTGTAGATGTATTCCATGTGAGGTGTAACTGGGATCTGTGGGCTTTAGCCGTGCTTATCCACCCTCCCATTTAGATGTATTCCATGTGAGGTGTAACTGGGATCTGTGGGTTTTAGCTGTGTAACTGGGATCTGTGGGCTTTAGCCGTGTTTATCCACCCTCCCATGTAGATGTATCCAATGTGAGGTGTAACTGGGATCTGTGGTCTTTAGCCGTGTTTATCCACCCTCCCATTTAGATGTATCCAATGTGAGGGGTAACTGGAATCTGTGGGCTTTAGCCGTGTTTATCCACCCTCCCATGTAGATGTATTCCATGTGACGTGTAACTGGGATCTGTGGTCTTTAGCCGTGCTTATCCACACTCCCATTTAGATGTATTCCATGTGAGGGGTAACTGGGATCTGTGGTCTTTAGCCGTGCTTATCCACACTCCCATTTAGATGTATTCCATGTGAGGTGTAACTGGGATCTGTGGGCTTTAGCCGTGCTTATCCACCCTCCCATTTAGATGTATTCAATGTGAGGTGTAACTGGAATTTGTGGGTTTTAGCCGTGTTTATCCACCCTCCCATGTAGATGTATTCAATGTGACGTGTAACTGGGTCCTGACAGCTTTCATTTAGTTTTATAGTTACATAGTTACATAGCTGAAAAGAGACTTGCGTCCATCAAGTTCAGCCTTCCTCACATTTGTTTTTTGCTGTTGATCCAAAGGAAGGCAAAAAAAACCCAGTTTGAAGCACAATTTTGCAACAAGCTAGGAAAAAAATTCCTTCTTGACCCCAGAATGGCAGTCAGATTTATCCTTGGATCAAGCAGTGATTACCCTACATTGAAAGATTATATCCTTGAATATTCTGTTCTTGCAAGTATACATCTAGTAGCCATTTGAACATCTGTATGGACTCTGATAAAACCACTTCTTCAGGCAGAGAATTCCACATCCTGATTGTTCTTACAGTAAAAAAACATTTCCTTTGCCTTAGACGAAATCTTCTTTCTTCCAGTCTAAACGCATGGCCTCGTGTCCTATGTAAAGTCCGGTTTGTGAATAGATTTCCACACAATGGTTTGTATTGGCCCCGAATATATTTGTAAAATGTTATCATATCCCCTCTCAGGCGACGTTTTTTTCTAAACTAAATAGGTTTAAACTTGTTAACCTTTCTTCATAGCCGATACGTTCCATTCCTTTTATTAATTTTGTAGCCCGCCTCTGCACTTTTTCTAGTGCCATCATATCCTTCTTTAGAACAGGTGCCCAAAATTGCACAGCATATTCAATATGGGGTCTTACCAGTGATTTATAAAGAGGCAAAATTATATTCTTGTCCCGAGAATGAATGCCCTTTTTCATGCATGACAATACGTTACTGGCCTTGGCCACTGCTGATTGACATTGCACATTGTTGCATAGTTTGTTGTCTATAACAGTTCCCAAGTCCTTTTCATGTGTTGTTATCCCTAATTCGCATCCATTAACCCCTTAAGACCGGAGGGCGTACTATTACGTCCTCTAATAGGCGGCTCTAAACGCTGCCGGGCGTAATAGTACGCCCTCCGGTCTTTCTGTACTTACCCGGTCGCCGGCGGTCCCACGCCGGCGATCGCGGTGGGGGGGACTCCCAGGGAGCCCCCCGCGGCACGACCGTCCTCCAGGAAGCCCCCCGGCCGTGTGAGAGTGGGGTCCTAGCGAGGACCCCACAATCACATGGCCGGGGATAGCTGGCTTCAGTATTGCCAGCAGGGGGGCTGCCTGTAATGACAGGTGGTCCCCCTGCTGGCTGAAAATAAAAATGAAATAAATAAATAGTGTAAAAAAATAAATAATATATACTTAGATCATATATATATATTATATATATATGATCAAAGTATATATACACACATATACATACACACATGTACACCGTCTAGGTGTATTTTACTATTAATATATATATAATTATATATATATATTAATATCAAATTACACGTATACTGATACTGATTAAATATATATATAATTATTGTTATATATATATTTATATATATTATAAAAAAAATTAAAATGTAAATACGTTAAAAAATAAAATTACAAAAATAATTAAAATAAATAATTAAAAAATATATAGATGTGTGTTATTTCGTTCTAACTGTATTGTGAAATTAATATATATATATATATATCAAAATACACATAGAGCGAAATAATATATATATTTATACACATAAATATATACGTATATATCACTATATATATACCTATATATAAATAAAAATATTTAAAAAAAATTATATAGATATATACATATATATACACATACGTATATATATACATATATTGATTCTACATCTATATATATATTATGTAATATTTTTACATAATTAGGTATCTTAATTAATTACAATTAGCAGGACCTGCATGACAACCCATGCCGAAAGTAAAGGGAATTTAATTTGCTAGCACTATATTTAACCCTATAACTTTCCGAGACACCATAAAACCTGTACATGGGGGGTACTGTTCTACTCGGGAGACTTCGCTGAACACAAATATTAGTGTTTCAAAACAGTAAAATGTATTACAACGATGATATCGCCAGTAAAAGTGACGTTTTTTGCATTTTTCACGCACAAACAGCATTAAACGGACAATATTATTGCTATGATACTTTTTACTGTTTTGAAACACAAATATTTGTGTTCAGTGAAGTCTCCCGAGTACAACAGTACCCCTCATGTACAGGTTTTATGGTGTTTCAAAAGTTACGCGTCAAATATAAGGCTTGCGTTTCATTTTTTTCATTAAAATTCGCCAGATTGGTTACGTTGCCTTTGAGACCCTATGGTAGCCCAAGAATGAAAATTACCCCTATGATGGCATACCATTTGCAATAGTAGACAACCCAAGGTATTGCAAATAGTGTATGTCCAGTCTTTTTTGTAGCCACTTAGTCACAAACACTGGCCAAAATTGGTGTTTTTTGCATTTTTCACACACAAACAAATACTAACGCTAACTTTGGCCAGTGTTTGTGACCAAATGGCTACTAAAAGACTGGACATACCCCATTTGCAATACCTTGGGTTGTCTACTATTGCAAATGGTATGCCATTATGGGTGTAAATTTCATTCCTGGGCTACTATACAGTCTCAAAGGCAACGTAACCAATCTGGCGAATTTCAATTTCAAATGTAACGCTATATTTGACCCTGTAACTTCCCAAAATGCCATAAAACCTGTACATAGGGGGTACTGTTTTACACGTGAGACTTTGCTGAATACAAATATGTGTATTTTATTGCAGTAAAAGCAAACAGTATTATGACACTGACCGTTTAAATGTCATGTAGAACTAAAAAAATCCCATAAAATCGTATTTTCTCCCATTTTTTTCATATTAAATTATGTTTCATAGCTAAATAATTGATATTAAATGAAAGCCCTGTTTCCCCTGAATAAAATGATATATAATAAGGGTGGGTGCATTTACTATGAAAGAGGTGTATTACGGTTGGACAGACATGTAGCGCAAATGCCAGGTTTTGTTTACATTTTGTTTTGTTCACAACGTGTACATTTGGCTCCGTCCTTAAGGGGTTAAGGGTATACATTGCTTGTGTATTCTTTACGCGTAGTGCATAACTTTGCATTTTTCAACATTAAATTTCATCTGCCATTTGAGTGCCCAGTCTATCTAAATCCTTCTGCAGCAAAGTAATATCTTGATCACATTGTGTTATTTTACAAAGTTGACAAACATGACTTCCAATGCTGTCTTCAAGATCATTTATAAATATGTTAAATAGAAGGGGTCCCAGAACAGACCCCTGAGGGACACCACTTGCCACCTCTGTCCAGCTTGAAAATTTACCATTAATGACAACTATTTGTACTCTGTTTTTAAGCCAATGTTCTACCCAAGAACAAGCATTTTCATCTAGACCGATTTCCTTGAGTTTGAACACTACTCTATTGTGGAACTGTATCAAATGCCTTGGCAAAATCCAAATAGATCACATCCACGGCAACACCCTGATCTATACTTCTACTTACTTCTTCGTAGAACGCAATCAAGTTAGTTTGACGTGACCGGTGCTTTATAAAACCGTGCTGATTTTTGCTGATAACCATGTTCTTCTCAAGGAATTCTTGAATATTATCCCTTAATAACCTTTCAAATATTTTACCAGCCACAGAAGTTAAGCTCCCATGTCTATAATTTTGAACCATTTTTGAATATAGGAACCACATCTGCCTTCCTCCAATCCTCCGGAACACTTCCTGAAAGAAAAGAATCTTGAAAGATTAAAAACAGAGGTTCACTTATTTCTACACTTAGTTCCTTAAGTACACATGGATGGATACCGTCAGGCCCTGGAGCTTTGTTTATATTAACTTTCTTTAGTTGCTGCAGCACTTTGTCTTGAGTTAACCAATTACAATTATTCTGCAAGTTTTTAGTAGCAATCATTTGCACATCTATTGCCATGGGTTCTTCCTTAATATATACGGAGGAGAAATAGTTATTTAATATTCCTGCCTTTTCCTGGTCTTCATTAACTAACACCCCCGTTTCAGTTTTTAGTGTACCTACACTTTCATTTTTGGGTTTTAGAATTTATGTACTTAAAAAATGCTTTGGGGTTGGTTTTGCTCTATTCAGCTATCATTATTTCATTTTGAAGTTTAGCAAGTCTAATTGCCTTTTTGCACGCATTATTGGCATCCTTATATCTTTTATAAGATGCATCTGATTTGTCCGATTTAAATGCTTTAAATGCCCTTTTCTTAGTTGTAATCTCTTGTTTTACTTCTCTACTAAGCCACATTGGTTTTAATTTGTTTCTTTTATATTTATTTCCCAACAGTACATACTGAGAAATGTACCTTTTTAATATTTGTTGGAAGATGATCCATTTATCCTCAGTGTTCTTTTCACTAAAGAGTTTATGCCAGTCAATATATTGTAAAGCTTCCCTTAACTTATTGAAATTGGCCTTTTTAAAATTATATGTTTTAGTATTCCCCATGTGCTTTTTGTTTTTTTGAGTTCATTTCAAAGGACACTATATTGTGATCACTATTTCCCAAGTGCTCACCTACTTGGATGTTGGTCAAAAGATCAACGTTGTTTGTTAAAACCAGGTCCAGACAAGCGTCCATTCTAGTTGGTGCTTGTACAAGTTGTGACATGAAGGTGTCATTTAACAAGTTTAAAAACCTAATTCCCTTTGCTGAGGCACTAGTCCCTCTGTCCCAATTTATATCTGGGTAATTACAATCTCCAATAATTAAAGTGTTACCCAGATTTGCAGCTTTCTCAATTTGCTCAAACAGCTGTTGTTCCTCGTCAATATTAACTTTAGGTGGTTTATAGCATATCCCAACCAATAGTTGGTTTCCCTTCTTTTCCCCCAAGCAGATATTTACCCATAAAGCTTCCACATTATCCTCCTCGCATTCCATTTGCTTAACATTTGGCTTTAAATCATGGTTGACATACAAACATACCCCACCACCCTTCTTGTTTTTCCTATCCTTCCTAAATAACATGTACCCATTTAAGTTAGCTGCCCAGTCATGTGTCTCATCCCACCATATTTCAGTTATGCCTATTATATCATATTGTTTAGTGTATAGGTGAGTTCCCTGTATGGATAGAGACTGGGTGTATTGATATACAGTATGGCAGTATAAATGAATCCCCACTACAGAGAGGTGCACAGTAATTCTGGAAGTATAGATCTATAGGTGAGGCCCTATATGGAGTAAGAGAACTACTCTGGATATAATACAGTGTGGCTGTGGGTGAATCCCTGTGACGAGAGTAATCTCGCCACGTTGCATTGGAGAAGCCTGGTTGCTCGCCTGCTGCCTTTGGATTATGGCCCCATGTTAAGACTTTGTTTCCCCTGCAGAAAAGACTTATTCGTGATTTTCTGCCCGGTGTTCGGTAGATTCAATCTACCGAACAACCACACGAATGACTAGACCACCTGGGAGCTGGAGTGTGCCGGCAATTAGCCTCCCAGAAGCTGCGGTTAACCGCAGCTTAATTGACGAATACTGGGTGGCCGCCATTCGGATAACGAACACGAGGTCGCGGCCATTTTAAACACGCGAACGCACAGCGGTGTTCGACGCCTAACTCATGGAACTAAAAACGGACACAGTTTGGCGCGAACACCGCTGAAGCCGCTGACCTCCCTTGTTCGACGGGAGTGCAGGAACGGCCCGGTGTTCGGTAGTTTTAACTGACTGTATACCCCAGATAGAAATCCCATGGAGCTCATTCGTATGAGAACTGACTTTGTAAAGACTTTGGCTCCATGGCGATTGAACTGTATTCGTGTATTCTGAGCGCCATTCGCTTAATAATGTGCGCTCAGACCTGAGCTATCTGGGGACATGTTAAATGTATAGTTTTACATAGTGTATTTTAATAGTAATTCTTGTTTTAGTATCCCCACTTGCGTAATGGCGATTTGCCTTTGTCCTGGGAGATAATTGAATTACTTCTCAATTATCTCCAGGGCAGAGGGGAGTAAGCCAGGATGCATTGTGGGAATACAATGTGACTGTGTGTCCTATTTGGCTACTTGTCTGTCCCTTGTCACAGTCTCCCATTTGGTCCCCTAGGGGAGTGTCCACTAGGTGGGAGACCTGCATAAATACTGGGCAGGTAGCCCTCATTAAACAGACCACTGCTTGACCCTCAACACGGAGCCTTGTCTCGTCTTTGGGGGGATTTACTGAATGCTGATAGAGACTGATTGCTAGGAGTGTAAGCCGCTTGGATGCTATTCCTATTCATCTGCTAGCAGCTATTCGTATGGTTTCAGTTCGTGAGTTTGGAGTGTTATATTGGATGCCGTTCGGGAGTTTGGAGCATTCCCTTATTTGCGGTTCGGGAGTTTGGTGTTCTACAGTAGCTGTGACTGCATCTCTGAAAGGGGACGATCGCCTTAACGGTTTTAACCACTTGTGTGCAAAACGGTCTGTTACAGTCCCTATATGGAGTGAGAGAGAAACTCTGGATAGACTATAGCAGGGGTTCTCAGCCCAGTCCTCATGGACCCCCAAACTGTCTAGGATTTAGGGATTACCCTGCTGTGTCTAATGTGTTTTTAGGGGGGGCGGGGAGGTTAGAAGAAACAAACACTTTAGACACAACAGGGTAATCCCTAAATCCTGGACTGGTAGGGGGTCCTTGAGGACTGAGTTGAGAACCCCTGGACTATAGTGTGGCTGTGGGTGAGACCCTATATGGAGTAAGAGAGAGATACTCTGGGTATACTATAGTGTTACTGTGGGTGAGTCCCCATATGGTGTAAGATATACTATGGTGGATATAATATAGTGTTACTGTGGGTGAGTCCCCATATGGAGTAAGATATACTATAGTGGATATAATATAGTGTTACTGTGGGCGAGTCCCCATATGGTGTAAGATATACTATGGTGGATATAATATAGTGTTACTGTGGGTGAGTCCCCATATGGAGTAAGATATACTATGGTGGATATAATATAGTGTTACTGTGGGTGAGTCCCCATATGGTGTAAGATATACTATAGTGGATATAATATAGTGTTACTGTGGGTGAGTCCCCATATGGTGTAAGATATACTATTGTGGATATAACATAGTGTTACTGTGGGTGAGTCCCCATATGGTGTAATATATGCTATGGCGGATATAATATAGTGTTACTGTGGGTGAGTGCCCATATGGAGTAAGATATACTATAGTGGATATAATATTGTGTTACTGTGGGTGAGTCCCCATATGGTGTAAGATATACTATAGTGGATATAATATAGTGTTACTGTGGGTGAGTCCCCATATGGAGTAAGATATACTATAGTGAATATAATATAGTGTTACTGTGGGTGAGTCCCCATATGGTGTAAGATATACTATGGTGGATATAATATAGTGTTACTGTGGGTGAGTCCCCATATGGTGTAAGATATACTATAGTGAATATAATATAGTGTTACTGTGGGTGAGTCCCCATATGGTGTAAGATATACTATAGTGTAAGATATATATAGTATACTATAGTGTTACTGTGGGTGAGTCCCCATATGGAGTAAGATATACTATAGTGGATATAATATAGTGTTACTGTGGGTGAGTCCCCATATGGTGTAAGATATACTATAGCGGATATAATATAGTGTTACTGTGGGTGAGTCCCCATATGGTGTAAGATATACTATAGTGGATATAATATAGTGTTACTGTGGGTGAGTCCCCATATGGAGTAAGATATACTATGGTGGATATAATATAGTGTTACTGTGGGCGAGTCCCCATATGGAGTAAGATATACTATAGCGGATATAATATAGTGTTACTGTGGGTGAGTCCCCATATGGTGTAAGATATACTATAGTGGATATAATATAGTGTTACTGTGGGTGAGTCCCCATATGGTGTGAGATATACTATAGTGAATATAATATAGTGTTACTGTGGGTGAGTCCCCATATGGAGTAAGATATACTATGGTGGATATAATATAGTGTTACTGTGGGTGAGTCCCCATATGGAGTAAGATATACTATGGTGGATATAATATAGTGTTACTGTGGGTGAGTCCCCATATGGTGTAAGATATACTATGGTGGATATAACATAGTGTTACTGTGGGTGAGTCCCCATATGGAGTAAGATATAATATAGTGTTACTGTGGGTGAGTCCCCATATGGTGTAAGATATACTATAGTGAATATAATATAGTGTTACTGTGGGTGAGTACCCATATGGTGTAAGATATACTATAGTGGATATAATATAGTGTTACTGTGGGTGAGTCCCCATATGGTGTAAGATATACTATAGTGAATATAATATAGTGTTACTGTGGGTGAGTCCCCATATGGAGTAAGATATACTATAGTGGATATAACATAGTGTTACTGTGGGTGAGTCCCCATATGGTGTAATATATACTATGGCGGATATAATATAGTGTTACTGTGAGTGAGTCCCCATATGGAGTAAGATATACTATAGTGGATATAATATAGTGTTACTGTGGGTGAGTCGCCATATGGAGTAAGATATACTATAGTGAATATAATATAGTGTTACTGTGTGTGAGTCCCCATATGGTGTAAGATATACTATGGTGGATATAATATAGTGTTACTGTGGGTGAGTCCCCATATGGTGTAAGATATACTATGGTGGATATAATATAGTGTTACTGTGTGTGAGTCCCCATATGGTGTAAGATATACTATAGTGGATATAATATAGTGTTACTGTGGGTGAGTCCCCATATGGTGTAAGATATACTATAGTGAATATAATATAGTGTTACTGTGGGTGAGTCCCCATATGGAGTAAGATATACTATAGTGAATATAATATAGTGTTACTGTGGGTGAGTCCCCATATGGTGTAAGATATACTATAGTGGATATAATATAGTGTTACTGTGGGTGAGTCCCCATATGGTGTAAGATATACTATAGTGAATATAATATAGTGTTACTGTGGGTGAGTCCCCATATGGAGTAAGATATAATATAGTGTTACTGTGGGTGAGTCCCCATATGGTGTAAGATATACTATAGTGAATATAATATAGTGTTACTGTGAGTGAGTCCCCATATGGAGTAAGATATACTATGGTGGATATAATATAGTGTTACTGTGGGTGAGTCCCCATATGGAGTAAGATATAATATAGTGTTACTGTGGGTGAGTCCCCATATGGAGTAAGATATACTATAGTGAATATAATATAGTGTTACTGTGGGCGAGTCCCCATATGGTGTAAGATATACTATAGTGGATATAATATAGTGTTACTGTGGGTGAGTCCCCATATGGTGTGAGATATACTATAGTGAATATAATATAGTGTTACTGTGGGTGAGTCCCCATATGGAGTAAGATATACTATGGTGGATATAATATAGTGTTACTGTGGGTGAGTCCCCATATGGAGTAAGATATACTATGGTGGATATAATATAGTGTTACTGTGGGTGAGTCCCCATATGGTATAAGATATACTATAGTGGATATAACATAGTGTTACTGTGGGTGAGTCCCCATATGGAGTAAGATATACTATGGTGAATATAATATAGTGTTACTGTGGGTGAGTCCCCATATGGTGTAAGATATACTATAGTGGATATAATATAGTGTTACTGTGGGTGAGTCCCCATATGGTGTAAGATATACTATAGTGGATATAATATAGTGTTACTGTGGGTGAGTCCCCATATGGTGTAAGATATACTATAGTGAATATAATATAGTGTTACTGTGAGTGAGTCCCCATATGGAGTAAGATATACTATGGTGGATATAATATAGTGTTACTGTGGGTGAGTCCCCATATGGAGTAAGATATAATATAGTGTTACTGTGGGTGAGTCCCCATATGGAGTAAGATATACTATAGTGAATATAATATAGTGTTACTGTGGGCGAGTCCCCATATGGTGTAAGATATACTATAGTGGATATAATATAGTGTTACTGTGGGTGAGTCCCCATATGGTGTAAGATATACTATAGTGGATATAATATAGTGTTACTGTGGGCGAGTCCCCATATGGTGTAAGATATACTATAGTGGATATAATATAGTGTTACTGTGGGTGAGTCCCCATATGGTGTAAGATATAATACAGTGACAGAGAATGGGTTGCTCTCTCACTCTGAGCTGTTTGTCAGCTTTTTATAAATAGCCTGTTTTCCTACTTGTCCTTGGTGTAGTGGGTGTCACGTGGCTGTTTTTGGCAGTGTGTCGATCTCAGTTCTCCTGAACGGCTGCCCAGCCTGTGCTGTGACACGACACCTCCTGCTAAGTTTAATGTGAAAAATGTATCCTTTTGCCTGAGCTGGAAAAATGAGAAATATCGTTTACTGGAATAATGTCATAGCAGCACTCAGAGGGTTAATCCTGCCTGTATTCTGAATATGTAGTCATTCTGTCCCTGTATAACCCCAAGCTGTGTTAAAGCAGATTGTTGTTTAAATGTTTGTTTATAATTCTTCATTTTGTGCATTTCTCCAAGGATCCAGACAGATCGTATCAATTTATTGTGCTATACTTCAAGGTACACGGATAGTTATATGTATTAGTGTCCATTGAAACAAATATTGCATTCATATGGAAAAAAAATATGCTGTATTGAAGTCCATTTGCTGTTACCTAAGGTTTCCCGAAGGAATGGGATTTGGGTGTATTTAACCCCTTAAGGACTGAGCCAAATGTACACGTTGTGATGAAAACAAAACGTAAATAAAAACTTGAATTTGCGCTATATGTCTGTTCAGGCGTAATTTGCCTCTTTCATATTATGTGCACCCACACTTAATATATATTATTTTATTCAGGGGAAACAGGGCTTTCATTTAACATCAAATATTTAGGTATGAAACAGAATTTTATATGAATAAAATATTAAAAAGTTGGAGAAAACAAGAATTAAAAAAAAGTTTAGTTCTACGTGACATTCTAACTATGAATGTCATAATACTGTTTGCTTTTACTGCAATAAAATACACATTTGTATTCAGCAATGTCTCACGTGTAAAAAAAAAAAAAGTACCCCCTATGTACAGGTTTTATGGTGTGGGAAGTTAGAGGGTCAAATATAGCACGTTACATATTTCAGTTTTTTCACATTGAAATTTGCCAGATTGGTTACGTTGCCTTTGAGACCGTATGGTAGCCCAGGAATGCGAATTACCCCCATGATGGAATACCATTTGCAAAAGTAGACAACCCAAGGTATTGCAAATGGGGAATGTCCAATCATTTTTGGTAGTCACTTGGTCACAAACACTGGCCCAAGTTAGTGTTCATATTTGTGTTTGAAAAATGCAAAAAACAAATTTGAACGCCAATTTTGGCCAGCGCCCTCAGGGCACTATAGTGTCAGGAAAACCGCTTTGTTTTCCTGACACTATAGTGATCCTTTAATGTTTATAGAGGGGAACCTGCACAATGGTTACACCCTAAATATATTAAATCTGCACAAACCCCAGCAGTGTTATTCTGGAGGTATAATTGTCTCCTTTTAAGTGGTTGCATTTGATCAATCTATTTTGCGGCTATTCTCTGACTATATTTTATACATACAGTGAGTTGTATAAATGTTTATAATATGAATAAAGTCAGCGAGCCGGGCTCCTCTGTGGTTGTCGCGCTCAGATTCTATTGTAAAGCAATGGTTGTGGAATACCTGTTTTGCTTTGCTATGTTTTTCCTGGAAGCTGTTTCTGTATCTTTTGCCCTGATGCCATCAGGTTGAGGAACTGCGCTCTAGGTAAAACAAGACAAACTATTCAAACAAAACATGTTTAAGATATTGGGACAGTAGGTGGAGAGGGCCCTGCTAAAACAAGCTTACTGTGAAGAAATCCCCCTTTTGTTGTACTATTTATGCCCATTGCATTCCCTTTTGTAACACTATTTCTGCCCATTGCGTTCGGTAGATGTAACTACCAAACAAAGACCACCCCTCTGGCTCATTAAACATCAAAGACTGATTCAATTGCTACCTCTGTCTGTGCGGCCAGCGTTCGTACAGCCGAACGCCACGTGGCAGAGAAAACCGTGGACATCTTTGTTCATCCGAACACCGGTCTCAAACAGACGAACGCTGGAACTCTACTTACCGAATAGCTAGAAGAGCGCTATTCGGTACTTTGGTGCATTCGACAGAGGGGCACAAACGCTGCTTGGAGCCATTCAGTACTTTGTTCGCTTTTCTGCTATTTCTAAAGTGACCGGCAAAACACACCAAATTCATGGAACTGTTTTGGTCATACAGCCCAGGGTGAGCCGGTCACAGAAGACATCCATAGATTTTGCGAACCCCTGAACCGATCTGGGTGAAATTCTAATATGTTGGTCACCCAGATCAGGGCTATCAGGGGACATGTTATTTGTGGGGATACCCCAAGTATAAAGGGGTGATCCAGTTATAGGGGAAAAAAGTGATTTTTCAGCCCGGAGATAATTAAGTTATTCTTTTATCAGACTTAATTATCTCCAGGGCTAGGGGAGGAAACTGTGGGTGTGTGTTAAAGTTTTACGGTATATGATTGGTGAATATTTGTCCCTCCCTGAGGGTTGTCCCCTTGCATGGGGACTTGCATAAAAGCTGTTTGCACCCATTAAAAGTTAGTTCATCTTGTACCCTTCTTCTTGACTTCGGCTGATGTTTGGGGATTCCTGTGTTTCACTAAGGGAATCATCTTGTGAAGCTATTGGGATTACTATATGGTTCGTCTATTCTATCTACCGAACGGAGGGCTATAATCACTAAGGCTCTGGCGGTTCAGGAGGAAACTACCGAATGAGGTTTAAATATACTTGGTTTCCTTACAATCTAGACTGATGAGGAACAGATACACAGATCGAATCAGATGATTTATATATACCTAAAGAATGGGAGGGGAGTTTGGGAAGAGGCAGTAGCAGTGGAAAGTTTGAAGGAATGAGGAGTTAAGGTAAAGCTTCTATAAAGGTGGGCGAGTTGTATGTAAGGTGGAGTAACCTTGAAGAAGGCCTGCAGGTCAGAGTCTAGGGGTGCAGGAGTGAGAAAGGGGCAGTGATAGGTCGTCTGTAGTGCAAAGAGCCCGGGTTGGAGCTACTGATTATTAAGTTAGAGACCGAGTAGAGCGAATGTGTCAGGTTGCTATTATTTAATGGGGGGTAACCCCTAGATAGAACATAAATGAAAAAAGAGAGCAAAAAAGCTAGGAAGGGAACAGATAGGTCTAAAGTGTTCCACTTAAAGCTTTTGAATATTAGAGCAACCCCATATAAATTGTAAAGGCTAATAAAATATAACTTTTAATTGGCTTAAGTAAAAATGTATATATCCCTACATATCATTAAACAATACAAGTAAACAGGGGACGACGACAAAAGAAGATATATGCTAAAAAGTGCTACCCTTTTCTAGTAATAGCACCTGTGGCACAGGGATTTTGAATAAATAGATATGAAAATAGTAGTTTCAATCTTCCAAGAAACTCAATAGTGGTAACGTATCCCCCCAACTCCCATTAACCAGTGCCAACGTGATAGCATAATCTCCTTCTCCCCCTCACGAACGATGTAGCTAGAACTACCTATTCGCTACAAAAATCTTCTCTAAAATAATTTAGCAGGGTGGCTAATCAGGAAAGGAAGTTAAGGCTGCAGCTAGAGCCACTGTTACCCCTGCCTCCCTCTGCTACTGAAGTCCCGACACGCGTTTTGCCGAATATCGGCTCTTCCAAGGGATGTCTGCTACTGATGAGCAGGGGCACAGCTCTGGAGAGCGTTATAAGCAAGCACAAGACCCTGGAACCAAATCCTGAATGAAACTGGAAGCCATTACAGAGACTGTGAGTCTCCGCATGAGTCTGGCAGTGTCAATGATTATGGAGTGTAGGGGCAATCTGGGCACTTTTCAGGCTAATAAACACTTAAATGGAACAAAAAACCTGGGAGTCTTTTAGTAGGAAAGAAACCTCACAAGACACAAATCTAACTTTCAATCGTTTTAGCTCTATCTTTTGCAGTGTAGTTTTTATTCATTTAATTTTACAAAATAGGATACAGAGCCTCAGTCTCTTATTTTGTAAAATAAATAATAACACATCAGTTGCAGGATCTTAAACGCAAATCTGAGCATGCTAACAGCACTTATAGGATATATGAGTGTGTGTGTTACACGTCACCTGCTAGAATATTACACTAACTGTTTTGCTGCTGTCTTGACGTGGGAGTGAAACACTGTTGAAAAAGGATGAGCGATACATTCATCAGAACAATAGACACACTTGGTGTAGGAATAATATTTCATAAATATTTCAAAGCCCACTAGATGCGATTGGCTGTAGACAAACACACGATTTATCAGAGTAGAGAATCGTTCTGAAAGTGAGCAGCAGTCGCCACAGAAACCAATGGAACCACAATTTACATTCCGATTGAGATTACTCCACGTGTACAGCTTTTACACCGCTTTTCAGATCGAGACACTGATCTATGCCTGCCACAGCCGTGTGCGGCTATATGAGCTGCTACGGGAAATGATCTACAGTGAGAATTCAAAGTGAATACTGAAAAATGATCTGTTGGCTATGCTTTCAGTTTGGCTACTCTGGCCTAAGTTTTAAATTCACCTTGAATTCACACTTTAGACTATTGACCCCTCAGCAGATATCGGTAGATGACCATAGATATTTTTTTTTTTTTTTTTTTTTTTCTTACATTTTTAATTCTGACAGCAAATCTCTGATTAATTGCAACAAAGAAAAGTGGGGAAAACACCCAGTATACGTATATAAAGAAATCTAAACAACCTGGAAATGTGAACCAGGATGGGTGGAACGATTGCAGATCTATAATAATAACAAACAAAACATAGCGTAATACAGTCATAAAAAAAAAAAAACCCAACTAGATATGTGGTGTTAGTAGAAAACTCACAAACATGTGATGAATCAGGCTTCTCACCCCACCAGGGGTTAAAACGAATCAGGAGGATGGTGAATCTCAGATGATGAAAATCCTAACATTTGTAAAAGATCGCACATAGTGAAGTAAAATTAAAACCAAAAGGTCGCCCAAATGTGCTCAGGTACAAACAACAGGTGTCAATTGCCAAATGCTTTCCCTACAACCTGCCGTGTCGATGGGTCAATAGAGGGATCTGGGCCCCCCCCAAAAGTTCTTTGTGTGGATGTCCCCGGGTGAGGTAAAGGAATCAGCCGATGCCCCTTCGCGGGGCCGAATCTCCAGGCGCCACATGTGGGAGCCTTTTCCAGGTGCTCCTGCTCGGTATCCCTCGGGTAATAGTGTTAAAGGACCAGATGCCGTGGGGACGTGGTCTCAATGGTGTGTCTGGCGGTTGCCGGGATGCAGCCCCTAAGCCTTTGTATGCTATGAAGGTGGGCTTCCGGTAGCTACGAGGGACTCTGTGTGGCACAAGGGTCTGGGCTATTCGCCTCTTGGGATGACAGTTTGAGTCCTCTTTTGGGAGGGGGTCTCTGTGGGGGGTCTCTGTGTGAGCCGACTTACACCCTGGACCTGACTGTCCGGTTCGTGGTCTCCTTCGGCGCCTGGGTGTGAAGCCGTTCCGCCACTGTGGGTCGGCCTGGACCGTTGGGTTGCCGGGGGTGAGTGATGTTGCGAGGTTGCTCTCTGCTGTCCTCCTCGATTTTTCGCCAGAATTCCTCCAATATCTTGTCTAGCTTTAACAGTGTTGATTCTGTTGTGCCTTGTGGTATGGCGAGAGGTCTGGCATCCGCCATCTTGGGTTGCTTGGGGTTGTTAGATTTAGGTTGTAGCTACACCGGGTCTGGTTTGGCTCGTCTAGTAGGGACCGGGATTACCCCCACCGGTCTAAAGGGGAGGGGGAGGTCTGCGGTAGTGCCTATCGGTCTCCAGGAGAGCGGGGAAGTCGGCTGTGACGGTAGTCACCATCACTGGGGATGGAAGACAGACACCAAGGGTGGGCTCCCAATTTCCTTTTGTGTTTTGTCACATTGTGCCTATTATTTGTGCAGGGTATGTTGAATGTATTGCTGGTCTGTGCATCTCACCCTCCCCCTTTTTTCCTGTCCTATTGTTTCCCCAGCAGGGCGTTGTTCCAGGGACACTGCCAGATCAGTTTAATCTAGCTGTCCTGTCCCTCCTCAATCTCCCATCAGCCCCTGCTATTGTCTGACTCCACCCTTCCTGTTACTATAGTAATCTATGTAACCTGTTGTATGTAAATTAGGCTGTTGGGGGCTTAAACTATGTGTGCTGTATTCATTAAAGAGTTGCTGTTTAACCTTCACCATGTGTCGTCTGGTGTTTGGTCCAGGGTGGAAAAGTGATCCCAGTCAAGCCTCGGGGTCTGAAGTGTTTCAGGGTCCCTGATAGCTACAAGGAAGCAGACTTGGCGGAGGTACTCGGTCGGAGTACTGGAGCTCCGTTACAACGGCCACCCTTCCCACCGCCCGGTGGCTTGTAGGCCTCAATTTGCCTCCGCGGGTCCCATGCGTCTTGGTTGCTTGATTTGTGTATCTATGTGGTCTGCAGCTTGTCCACGAGTCGGTGGACAAGTGTGAGTGCTCGGGTTTTGGCTGGAAACAGGGGTATTATCCCGAAAATTGTCGGTTAGTGCACCTTACTTGAAGTTTAGGTCCAAGCAAATCTTTAGACCTTGGGTTTCCATATTCTACCAAAATAAGAAGCGTAAATCCCAGAGGGTATTAACACTGCAAACATCCTACAATGGAACAGTACATTTCAGCACTGCCAGAGCAAACTGGACATGCTGCTACCTTGCTGACCTTGTGATTCTCAGAGGGTGGAATTTAGCAGCAGCGTGGCAGATCTTGGGATACCAACGTCAGCAGCAGAGTAGTTAATATAAAACCAAAATTAAACAAAGTAAAATGTTGAAAAATGAAAATCCATAAAAGTCCATATGTGGAATGTATCAAACGCGTTTTGTCTAGCAGGAGACTTCCTCAGGGATCTCTGGTAATTCATCTTAATAGGAGCTTCTTATAGTGCTGAAATCCTTGTGGATCCGTTTCACCTGATGGTTGTCGTGTGTTCCACTGCGGAACACAAAGAGGAACATCCTATGCGACCAGGGAAAGGGCAAATGGCGTGGTCGTTCGTATGAATGCGGCATATGGATGAATACAGGGGAAGCTAATACAGCGCGTGCGCATGCTACTAGGAAAAAATCAGAAAGAATAGGCGAACAGTCTCCTTAAACACGAATAATACTGGGTGCCTCCGTCAAACGATGCTCCTAGTGCTCACCAAGGACAATCAGCACCTCACTTGATACCATAACCACTGCAAACCCCACGAACCGCCGCAGCTTGGTTGGGGTTTAGCCGTCCTCCACCCACCCTGTACCCAAGACCAGGCTCCAGCTTCCAGTGGGTGAACCTCTCCTTGGTCCAGAGAGCGAAACAGGAACAGCTCTTACAAGAGCTAGTGATTATACTCTGGGGAGTATAGTGATTGTAGCAGTCCCCAGAGTGTAGGTAGTTCTCCAATCCCCCAAACATGAGCCAAGACTTCATGAAGGGTAGAACAGGTCTGTGTAATGCAAGCCAGCACTCACAATTTATATTCCTCAGGATACAACATATCCCCCACATAGCCCCTGTAACGGATCGCCTGGCACCCCGACTGGGTACCTCCGTTGAAGGATGCTCCTAGAGCTTCCTGAGGACTCCAAGCACTCTGGCAGACACCACAATCACCGAACCGGAGAAACAAATAAATTCTCCCAAGCATGTGAATGCTGTAGACAGTTGAATAGGAAACCATACGAATAGGTTTACTCTCCTAGCAGTCAAACTGGAACAGCATACAATAAATCCTTCCCCCAATAATGAGACGACACTTCACTTCGAGGGTTAAAACAGGAACTGACTGGACTGGCACATACAGCTTCTTTTATTCCCAATCCACAAACTTAGTACTGCCCACAGGGTTTTACAGAACAACCAATCAATCTGTGCAATACACACAGACACTCCCACACAAAATCTTCCCCTCTGCCTGTAATACAATTACCTTACAATGGGTAATCTAATTATCACAGACAGAGAAATACAGTTTCATAAAACACATCACAGGGACCCCAAAACATGCAATAACCCCATAAAAAGTACTTTGGAAGATACAGTTTAATGCAGATTCTGCAGAACATATACAGGCTAAATGAAAAACAATCACTGTATAATGTGTCCCCTGCTGTATAGTCCAAAACCACTGCACGATGTCTCTGTGCACCAAATACTGGCGAGATGGCACCGTGTTGAAGAGTCCAAACAGTGTCTGTGAGTTAAAATGGCCGCCATCCATTGTTCTCACCATGTGCTTCATCCATTGTTCTCACCATGTGCCTCTGATAGAGGAAATGGTGGCCACCCAGTAACTCCACAGTATGTCCCCAGATGGTTCTTATAGGGCCAGCAGCAGCACAACACAAATCTATTCTGCCCAAATCATGTCTTTAAAGGGCAATACATCCCAGGGGCCATAGTCACATGGCAATCAGTCTTCTCCAATGCCCAGTGGCGAGGTCGGTTTTGCCACAGCCCCGATCTGGGTGAAAAACATATCCACAAATCACCCAGATTGGTTGAGGGGTTTAGGAATTTCCTGGAAGTCTTATTTTTGCCCCACCGGGCATATGGTCCCATGCCCAAAACAGTTCCACACACTCGACGACAAAACACTGCTGGACAATTTAAGATGGCCGCTGCCACATGTTTGAATCTGTTCCAGTTAAAAGTCCAAGGGGCCGAAACAGTACTTTTGAACATGAGGTATCACAGGGCAAGAGGCTGGCAAGCAGGCATCTCCAAATCCCAGTGACGAAGGTGCTTTTGTCACAAATATAATCAAATAATATCGAAAGGGAAATGACAGACCTCACTGGTATACTGTGCTGGATGAAAAAAATTCAAGGGAATGGTAATAAAATAGAACAAATAAAAATTAAAAAAGGGGACCAAAACAGAAATAATTTAGATACAAAATAGTATATCTATAAAGATATAAGTTTGTGTGTGTGTGTGTTTTTATGTGTGTGTGTGTGTGTGTGTGTGTATGTGTATATGTATTTAAAAAAAGTATATATATAAAAAAATATATAATTAATAAAAAGCCTTGAATTAGCAACACAGTATGGATTAACAGATGGATGCATCATATACAAAACATGTATAAAAAAACCTAAAAGGAAAAAGAACATATTATGAAACCTTGAAGGTCTATTTCTGCATTAAGACCTTATTGCAGAGTTTTTAGATTGTAAATCCAAAAGGCTTCTTGGTGAATAAGTTCCTGTAGTTTTACGAATACTATTTTGTTGTCTTTAGTGTGTATATTTCTACCTTCTCAATCTCCGATTTAATGTCTGCTTCAAAAAATTATAAATTTTGTCTCTGTATAATCTTCATTTGGCAGAAATTATGTTTCTAATGATTGGGATTGTTGTACAGTGAACAAGTTGCTAATTGTATGTGTGTTTTTTTTTTTTTTTGTTTTTTTAGATCTTGCCATTCCTTAAAGATGGTTTGTGCTGCCAGAATCAAGACATTCAGACTATAATCCCATTTGTTGCTCATTTATAAGGATCTATAACTCAAAACCCATCAACATGCATACTTTCCTGCCAGAGAACTTTACTCCCATCAAGCAGAAGGCATCGAGGCAGCAGCGATCGTTGATTTGTGCGATTATTGTGGGCATCGTCCTTGTAATTTGCGCAGTGGTTGCTTGGTGCTATTACTCAGTCTCTCTTAGGAAGGCAGATCGCTTGAAAACAGAGCAATTATACCTGAAGAAAGATGGATTTACAATCCGTAACCTTCAGGGAAAACAAGTTTTCCGAATGGCTTTTGAATCGGGTGCCCTGGATTTAGATTCTTGTTCCAAGAATGGTGAGATTTTGTCATGTACCAAATCAGACAAAGGGAAGCTGAATTTCTTCGTCCAGACTGTTAATCCCAAAGACACAGTCATGTGCTACAGAGTCCGATGGGAAGAGTTTGTAGCGGACACAGTGGTGCAGCACACCATGTATTGGGATGATGCCTATTGGTATGGAGGCGCAGAAATGAGTACCCAGCACTGGCCTATTAAGCTCTCTGGATACCAAGAACCCAAACCTTTTGTCACCAGTGATGTATATTCATCAAGAGACAGCTTTGGTGGGATTCTAGAAAGATATTGGCTGTCCTCTAATGCAACAGCAATTAAAATCAATGATTCCGTGCCTTTCCACTTAGGGTGGAATAGCACAGAGAAGTCCCTTTTCTTTGAAGCCAGATACAAGGATTCCTCGTATAAGCCTCCACTTGGACAACCGCCATTTCCAGAGTTGAGCTACAGGGTATGTGTGGGTTCAGATGTGACTTCAATCCATAAATATATGGTCAGGCGCTACTTCTACAAGCCCACCAAGGTACCAGAAAAAAATGCCTTCAGATATCCAATTTGGTCAACTTGGGCTCTTTATAAAACTGATATTGACCAGGACAAGTTAATGAGGTTTGCAGAGAAGATAAAAAAACACCACTTTAACTACAGTCATATTGAGATAGATGATATGTACTCCAAGTACTATGGTGATTTTGATCTCGATCCAGTAAAGTTCCCTAATGCTACAGAAATGTTCAAAAAGTTAAAGGAAGAAGGCTTTGAGTTAACTCTCTGGATCCATCCATTTGTCAATTATAACTCATCTAATTTTGGAGTAGGCATAGAGAGGGGGCTGTTTGTTAAAGAACCCAGTGGACGACTTCCAGCCATGGTCCAGTGGTGGAATGGCATAGGAGCCATACTTGATTTTACAAACCCCCAAGCTAGAGAGTGGTTCCTTAACAATCTAAAAATGCTCAAAGCAAAGTATGGAATTTCATCTTTTAAATTTGACGCCGGAGAAACAAATTATCTTCCCAAACAGTTCAGCACCTTTCAACCATTGTCAGATCCAAGCATTTTCAGTAGGAAGTACACTGAAATGGCTATTCCCTTTTTTGACCGTGCCGAGGTGAGAGTTGGCTATCAGTCCCAGAATATCTCCTGCTTCTTCAGGATTATCGACCGTGACTCCGTATGGGGATATGAGCTTGGGTTGAAATCACTGATCCCTACTGTTCTTACCATAAGTATGCTTGGGTATCCCTTTATCTTGCCAGATATGATTGGAGGGAATGCCTACAGCAATCATTCCAGCAACCTTCAGATTCCTGATCGGGAACTCTACATCCGGTGGCTGGAACTATCTGCTTTTATGCCCTCTATGCAGTTTTCTGTACCACCCTGGCTTTATGATAATGATGTGATTGAAATTGCTCACAAGTTTACCCAAATCCACGAGTCTTTGGTTGCCCCTCTGTTATTGGAGCTTGCAGGGGAAGTTACTACGACCGGAGATCCTATCATTCGGCCAATCTGGTGGATCTCTCCTAATGACGAAGCAGCCCATAAAATTGATTCCCAGTTCTTGATAGGAGATACGTTCATGGTCGCCCCAGTCCTGGAGCCGGGCAAGCAGGAAAGGGATGTTTACCTTCCTGCAGGCCGATGGCGTAGTTACAAAGGAGAAGTCTTTGATAAAACTCCACAACTTCTTACAGATTACCCTGTGGACTTGGACGAGGTTGCCTATTTCACTTGGTTAGCTTAGCTGAAGAAGGAATTCTACTGTAAAAGAAAAATGTGAGGTATCACTACTTTTTAATGGTCTTTTTTGTAGAAAAAGACTTATGCTGGCCTTGCAGAATGTATAAACACCTTCAGTATCCAAGGGAATTAATAATCTATGTAGCTTTCACAAATTTCTTAAAATTCTCAATGTCCAAGGAAGAAATTTTCAAAAGGGAATTGCTAAATTTTGTGCCAAATTAGAAAAAAAAAAACCTCCAACCCAATTTTTTTTTTTTTTTTTAATTCTTGAATAGTTCATAGGGAAGTTTTTTACTTAATTTAAAATGATTTCAAGTGGTTTCCTCCTCTGATCTCCGTAGGATAATTTAGGGTTTTCACTGAGATTCTATGTTAACTTTTCCAGTACTTGGTGAATAATCCGTTAAGTGATAGCAGTCTCTCTCATTGAGATTGTGGAATGAAGACCAAGCAACAATCTACTGGTCTGTTACAAATTAGAGGACTCTATAGCCTCCACTACAGCTTAATGGAAGAGCTGGGGTGGCGGGACTGGCGCAACGTGCGAGACAGGGCTGGAGACCTAAACTGCCACACCAGCAGTATCGTGTCAGGAATAGATGTTTCTATTCCTGACACTATAGTGTTCCTTTAACATCTAGAAAGGCATAGCAAATGCTCCTGTGAAATGCCACCTCATTTAAATTCTGATTCATCTCACAAACCATTTGTCATGAAACTTTTTCTTTTGATTTGGTGCATTTGTTTATCTCTTAAACTGAATACTGAATGGGGACTTACCCCATTTAATGAGTAAATTACCGGTAAATAAATCAAATCTGTGACAGGACTGTGGTCCTCGATGGCTGAGTCTAACGTATGTTCACAATAAGCAAAATCGGATTTATCACGGATTACTAGAGCTTCTAATATAGGGCTAGATTATATTATAAGAGGTTAGCCGGTCTGGTGTCTGAATAGCAGTGTTCCCACAGATGTCAATGGAAGAACTGCTATTCGGCTAGTCGATTAATGTTTATATTTTGCTATAGAACCCGTATGGAGAAAGAGCTGATATTCGGCTAGTTGAGTCATGTCTGCATTTTGCCGTAGAACCCGTATGGAGAAAGAGCTGCTATTCGGCTAGTCGAGTCATGTCTGTATTTTGCCATAGAACCTGTATGGAGAAAGAGCTGATATTCGGCTAGTTGAGTCATGTCTGCATTTTGCCGTAGAACCCGTATGGCGAAAGAGCTGCTATTCGGCTAGTCGAGTCATGTCTGTATTTTGCCGTAGAACCCGTATGGAGAAAGAGCTGATATTCGGCTAGTTGAGTCATGTCTGTATTTTGCCATAGAACCCGTATGGAGAAAGAGCTGATATTCTCTTAAACACTGCGTTGGTTATATTGTACGAGCTCGTATTAACCTTCCATCCAACAATGACATGCTTTAAAGGGACATTTCAATTTGCCTTTGCCATATGTATATTTTTATATAGCTCCAGAATTACTTTTTATATATATATATATATATATTTTTTTTTTTCTTTCTTTTGATTGTGACAATGTTCTTTCTTTTAGCCATTACAGCAGAATTTGTAGGGAAGCGATGGAACCTGGTGTAAAATCGTATTTTATTTTTTTTTGCCTTTCTTTCTATTTCAGATGTACAGTTATTGTTCATTCTGTCTAACACCAACGAATGCCTCACTGTGTCTCTGATCTCCATGTCTGATATTCTCCTCATATTGAATGCAGAATTGCTTTTTCTATGCGTTTTGATACTTTGTTGCCAACATACAGACAAATAAGAGAGCAATGAGGGGATATGGAAATACAGGCAATAGCAGAGTGTATAGTTTAATTATATATGCTGATATATAATAAAACTATAATTTTTTATTAACTATATATATTTTCTGTTCCCAGCAGCAATGCTTTTTTCATTTTTATTAATTGTTAACAAACCTTGGAAGAGCTATACCTGTACTACCTGTAAGATGGTATTGTGGTTGCATCACATACACATTCTATTTCAGAATGATATGTGTGTAGGTGGGTTATGGGACTGAAACTGGATCGCCAGCAAATCGTGCTATTTGCAAAGTGCCGCCATATTCCATAGAGCTGGGTAAACAAAATATACAATGGGATTATTACAAACACTTTTGGCCGTTCTGGTGATAGCGGTTTCGTGGTCGCAGCGGACATGGATGGCGTCACACCGTGAGGTCACCTGGCCTGATTACGACCAGTTTGCTGAATGTGTATAGTTGTTAGAACCATGTAGTTCCCACAAATGTTTTCTGACACTATATTGCTGGCTAAATAAATAGATTATCAATTATGCAATTAATCGAACTGCTAGGATTTGCTTTGAAATGTCTTTCTGTCTATATCTCGGAATAAAAAAAAGTTGTGTATAGCTTGCACTGAATATACACATATATCGCTGCACCAGCCAAGCCTTAGTTTGTCTGCTTACGTTTATTGGTTTTATATCAAGTCTTATTTGTGTATTGTTTTTGTCTTTAATGGTATATTGTGTGATGTAATACACTGCACTAGCATTAACCAGGAATATTGTGTAATGTGATGCACTGCACTAGCATTAACCAGGAATATTGTGTAATGTGATACACTGCACTAACATTAACCAGGAATATTGTGTAATGTGATACTCTGCACCAGCATTAACCAAAAGGATATGTTACTGCAGGAGGAGGGGAGGGGTACGCCAGGTCCAGACAGGAGTCATTTACATTGGTTGGATTATGGATTGCCATAGCTAGTGTCCTGTTACTAGCAGTACATGCTATCTCTTAGAAATTGCACAATTTTTACAAAGCAGGTTTGCTTAAAAGAACACTCCAAGCACCATGACTACTAAAGCATGATGTAGTGGTTATGGTGCCAATAATGCGCTTTAGATCTCCTCATAGGAAAGCATTATTCAATGCTTTCCTATGGAGAAAATCTGACGCTGGAGGTCCGTGAGGACGTTCTGCGTCAGATAACGGACTAAAAGTCAGTTTGGATTCCGGAAACTCTCTAGTGGCTGTTTGGTAGACACCCACAGAGGGCAGACTTAGAACTGCAATGTTTTACATTACAGCACTAGGTGCAAAAGGGACACAGCACCCAGACCACTTAAATTAGCTTAAGTGGTCTGGGTGCCTACAGCTGATTGTTCTCAGCCAATAAGCTTAGCCCTGCACTGCCCGGGTTCGATCACACAGAGAACTTCCAGCTGGAGAGAAAGCAGGGAGCGGTGCACAATGGACCCCCAGATAAGAAGTCATATCTTTCCAGTGGTTATGGTGCTTGGAGTGTTTCTTAAAAGTTACCAATTCTATTAGGCTCTGATCAGTTATTTAGCTCTGCCTGTCTAGGTATGTTACACAGTTAGTTACATAGCAGAAAAAAGACTTGCGTCCATCAAGTTCAGCCTTCCTCACAAATGTTTTTGTTGTTGATCCAAAAGAAGGCAAAAAACCTGGTCTGAAGCGCTTCCAATTTTGCCAGAAACTAGGAAAAAATTCCTTCTTGACCCCAAAATAGCAGTCAGATATCTCCTTGGATCAAGCAGCTATTACCCCACTAATTAGAAATTATATCCCTGTATGTTATGTTATTGCACGTATTTATCCAATTGCAGTTTAAACATCTGTATGGACTCTGATAAAACCACCTCTTCAGGCAGAGAATTCCATATCTTTATAGTTCTATATTTGTATAATGTTATCATATCCCCTCTGAGGTGCCGTTTTTCCAAACTTTAAATTCTTTAACCCTTCTTCATAACTAAAATGCTCCATTCCTTTTATCAATTTTGTAGCCCGTCTCTGTACGTTTTCTAGTGCCACGATATCCTTCTTTAGAACAGGTGCCCAAAATTGCACAGCATTTTCAAGTTTTTATAAAGAGGCAAAATTATATTTTCATCCTGAGAATTTATGTTCAAATATCTTTCCTCTTATTCAGTGACATCATCTGGTTTCACTTTTTGGTGACCTGATACAGCTGTAAGCAGACCATGAAATCCTTTAACTCTTATCATACACAGCCACACAAAGCAAGCAGGAATCTGTTTCATGCTATAATCAGTTTATATAACATGGGCTATCGCCTTTTATTATGTGCACCTTTGTGTTTACTCCAGGACAGAGAGGGGAATTTCGTGTTTTATCTTCTGCTTCCAGACTGAAATCACCTGAAATGTTGGAAATTCTGTATTATTTACAGGAGAAATATAAATAATATAGTTTAACCCCTTAAGGACCAAACTTCTGCAATAAAAAGGAATCATGACATGTCAGGTGTCCTTAGGGGGTTAAAGGACCACTATAGTGCCCTGAGGGTGCCCCCACCCTCAGGGTCCCCCTCCGGCCCGGCTCTGGAAGGGGGAAAGGGGTAAAACTTACCTCTTTCTCCAGCACCGGGCGGGGAGCTCTTCTCCTCCTCTTCGGCTGAATGCGCATACGCGGCAGGAGCCGCGCGTGCATTCAGCCAGTCCATAGGAAAGCATTCACAATGCTTTCCTATGGACGCTGGCGTCTTCACTGTGATTTTTCACAGTGAGAAACGTGGAAACCCTCTAGCGGCTGTCAATGAGACAGCTACTAGAGGCTGGATTAACCCTAACATAAACATAGCAGTTTCTCTGAAACTGCTATGTTTATGGAAAAATGGGTTAACCCTAGATGGACCTGGCACTCAGACCACTTCATTAAGCTGAAGTGGTCTGGGTGCCTATAGTGGTCCTTTAAAAGAGGTGTGTGTATTATTTTTTTTTAATATAGGTAAAAATGTGATTTTAGGTTTCCTTTTTAAAATAATTATATTTTTTTATCCTGATTTATTTTTTTATTTTTGTGATAAGCTTTTTGAAAACATGAGAAATATTTTGCACATCAATGAAATGTAAGCTTTGCTAACGCCTGGTAATGTGCTGCGCCATGGTCTGTGTGTGTGTGTGTGTGTTTTTTTTTTTTTTTTTGCCTTTCTGGATGGTACTATTAGAATGGAACGGTCTAATTGTTTGGTATGATAGCTGCTCTGCTTGGTGTTGGGGATCTGTCATACTTAGTGAGTGCATGCAGACCGCTTGTCTAAGCAGGGAGGATGTGTGTGGGGGGGAGCGTTGTAATGAATTCAGAGAGGCATGGATTTGTCATAAGCCGGGCTCATGCGTACATCTTACTGCCCTGTGTGTGACCTGCCGGGATGGGCGCTACAATCCATGGATAAAATTTGGTGAGCCTGGGGAGTGTATGTTAAACTGATCTCTTCTGTATTAATTATAACATGTTCTATAATTCTTAAAGGATCACTATAGGGTCAGGAATACAAACCTGTCTTCCTGACCCTATAGTGAAAACCCACCATTTAGGGGGCTTGCCCCCTCCACCCCCCTTAACCCCCGCAGAATGGGTTAAAACTAACCTTATATTCAGCTCTCAGCAGGTCTGCCGGTGCTGGCTCCGCCCCCTTGGTGACATCAAAATTGCAGATTTTTAGCCAATCCAGTGCTTTCCCATGGGAAAAGCATTGGATTGGCCAAAATGGACAAGGGGGCGGGACCGAACAGTATTAGCCAATCAGCACCTCATAATAGGGATGCATTGGATTATTTTATTTATATAGCGCCATCAGATTCTGTAGCGCTGTACAGTGAATCCATGCATCTCTATGAGGAAAATTCAGCGTCTCCATGCAGATCGTGGGGACGCTGAACGGCAGGGCTGCTTACTGTGCAGCCCAGAGCCAGGAAGCCCCTCCAGTGGCCATCTAAGAAGTGAGTGGCCACTTGGAGGTGTCCCTAGGGGGCAATGTAAACTATATTAAGCTGTAGTTGTTCTGGTGACTATAGCGTCCCTTTAATACATCCACATGATGCTCTTATTACATTATGAGACGTAGTTTCACAGCAGCTAAAAAATGCTACCTGTATCCTAAACTGGAGAGAGACATCTCACAATTTAATGAATCTCTGTCAATGACCGCCCCCTGCCTATGGTTCATGCTTCACATTACAATTAAAAAATACATTATACTGTGCGCGTGTGTGTACGGACGGTATATATTATGCAAATATACTTATGCACAGGTTGGCAGGTATTGTATTAATACATCCACTTATTATACACAGTTTTATTGGTGCGTTATAGTTACTGTGCTCATTCACACGTCTCACCGTGGGAGTCAGGATCCAATGAATAAGCCATTAAACGAATTAAAATCGGTATTGTATGTTTTGTGCCAAAAGGTTTGGAGTGCCTAATATTACAGTGATATACACTAAAGTGTGAATTGTTGGTAATTCTATGTGAATGTCAAATCCTAGGACAATGAAAGTTTTCAACTGTTTTCTGTTAAGCTTTTTTTGCTTAAAGGGATACTCCACACACCTAAAGCACATTAGCTTGTTAAATGATCTATGTGTGAAAAGTATGTCCTTTGTACATTTTAAATGGGGGGAAAAAGTGCAGATTTCAATAGAAATTGGCACTTTTATAAATGAGCCTTGTTAAACCCCTTAGGCTGTCAGTTACATAACCGGTCCTATTACTTTCTGGATTGGTTAGCTCACTGAAGCTAAACTCAAGAGTTCGCAATTGCTCAGAGCACCTGCCTAGCAAAGACTTCTCACTGAGCTGCATTGGACAGGGTTTGAAGGTGAGGGCTTGCAAAGGCTTCAGACAAAACATTGTAATCTGGTCTCTATTTACTGCATTATTCTGTACCTCATCTGAGTATTTTTCACCGTCCGATAAACATAGTATTGTGATTTTGTTCAATCATATTTTTATTGATTTTGACATAAATGATGTAATATTGCACTTTACTTTTCAGAAGATACAGTCTGGATTCCATTGGTCATGTTTCTCGTAACGTGGCAGCCATGTATAGGGATAGCACCATATATTCCCTTGCAGGTAATTAAAGGGATGCTGCAGCCTGGAACGGACTTCCACTTTTTAAATGCATTGTTTGGTTGATGCGTTTTAGCTTCATGTCAGTTTTGGGTTTACAGATTTTGTAGTCAACTAATACCAAGGAACTTTTCAGCCAATCTCCAGTCTTCCTTTATTTTCTAAATAAAAACTGAGCTTATTGTATAAACCTCCAGCCGACCAGGGTGTATACATAGTTGTCACGTCACACAGTATTAAAGGGACATGCATCACTTGAAAAAAAATTTTTAAACCAGGAAGCAAACACTTTTAAACATATCAAAATAAAGCAAACACAACTTTGAAAAGTATGTAATAAACATTAACAAAAAAACGTTGTCAGCTTGTAATGCATGCTTCTCAACTAGGGGAGTTTCTTCAGCCCTCCCCACCTTATCCACATAGTAATCTAGACCAGGGATAGGCAACCTTCGGCACTCCAGATGTTGTGGACTACATCCCCCATAATGCTCTTACACCCATAATGCTGGTAAAGGATCATGGGAGGTGTAGTCCAAAACATCTGGAGTGCCGAAGGTTGCCTATGCCTGATCTAGACCATTTCACTAATGACAGAATAAGGGGGTCATTGCGCAGCAGGAGGAGAGAGAACCCATAACCGCAGAGCCTGCTCTGCATGATTACACTAACCGCCTGTCAGGATGTTGCAAGGTGAAGAGATCTTCCTACTGTACATAGGTAAAAATCTGTCCGGCAAGCCCATTGCACTTTTCCATTATTCCTAGGGATAGGACACTGATTGGTCAGATCAGTGTTCCCCCTGGAGTGGGTGTGGAAAGCATAAGAAAGAAGAAACAGGTTTACCTGAAAAAACATAACTCGCCTGCTTGTTTTCAGCCTGCAAAGTGATGCATGTTCCTTTAACCTGTGACACATGATCTGCACCAGTAAAATGGAGTGAATTAAACTCTTGGTTGGGCAGAGAAAATCTAACGCATAGCAAGAAACAGACATCCATGTTTCTCGTCTTTCTGTTGGGGACCTGTATGTATTGTTGAACATTTGGTTTTTATTTTACCTTTGTAGGTGGTCAAGTATTTGGAAGCTTTGTTTATTTAGGGTGTTAAGCTAATCCAGGGCTCCTCCTGATTCAGGATGTTTGTGTGTATCATCCGCCTCGACGCACAAAGTATTTAGAATAGTACAAACTCTAAATGTGAATTTCAAAAAGGGAAATATCTTTATTTTGCTGAATGTACTCTGGTGTATATATATTTTTTAAAAATAATCCTATATGTTTAATTTTAATGCTATTACTGTGAATATTTTGAAGACTCAACCATGTTATAAATAAAATAATTTTAATGTCAAAACTAGAAAGGTGTGTTTGTATACGTTTTATCTGTATATTTGTTTCACCGTTGGAACTAAACTCTTATTTTAGGCTTCGCTAAAACCAAAAAGAGCAATGTACATAACATGTTTGAATATCACTATTTTTGCAACAATGCTTTTCTTCAATAAATCTGGTGTGTATATAACCAACCTTCGTCTGTCATTTTCCTGGAATGATAGAATGTACACGGTCTGTATCAATCTCATGGGTGTTGGCATAGTGCTAATGTCACGCTAAATAAATATCCTGGATAATGGCACTGGCAGAAAGGCTTAGAGGCCAAAGCTGTTTGGGAGGCTGGCGCTATTGTAAAGGTTAATATCTGAATGTTTTATTGGACCCCATACTATACAGTGAATTCATGCATAGAATTCAGTTTTATTCACCATGTGTTATACTGTCCAGTTGAGAATCTCTGCCGGCTAATGGAGAAACTTGTTGCAATAGTTAATATCTTCATATTTAAAGCTGCCAAATGAAATTTAAATACGATGCTCAATGAATTAACATATGTTGTCTTAAACTACACGGAAATTCACATTTTAATGAGTAACGCGGACAGTGTAATCCTGTAAGGGCAGTGCGTAGGATGTTTATATCGTCCATCAAGCAAGGTGCTGCTTAGAGACATAGATTTATTCTCAAGGTATCCGCTTCTTGAGTATGAAGCATTGGCCATGTGCATTTCACTGATCCCTGATTGGGTTTGACGTTTTGGCTATCTACCTTCCAGTGATACCTGCTTAGGTATAAAGCTTTAGCTAGGTCTCTTTTTCTTATACCTGATTGGATATGAAGCTTTCACCAGGTGCCTTGTAATGATGTCTGGTAGGGTATAAAGCTGTATCTAGGTATCTTCCACTAGTTCCTGATTGGATATGAAGCTTTAGCCAGGTACCTTCCACTGGTTCCTGATTGGATATGAAGCTTTAGCCAGGTACCTGCCACTGGTCCCCGATTGGATATGAAGCTTTAGCCAGGTACCTGCCACTGGTCCCTGATTGAATATGAAGCTTTAGCCAGGTACCTGATTGAATATGAAGCTTTAGCCAGGTACCTGCCACTGGTACCTGATTGAATATGAAGCTTTAGCCAGGTACCTTCCACTGGTTCCTGATTGGATATGAAGCTTTAGCCAGGTACCTGCCACTAGTCCCCGATTGGATATGAAGCTTTAGCCAGGTACCTTCCACTGGTCCCTGATTGAAAATTAAGCTTTAGCCAGGTACCTGCCACTGGTCCCTGATTGAATATGAAGCTTTAGCCAGGTACCTGCCAGGCGGTCCGCCACAGTGGTGTACTCCTCAAGTTCCACCATCACCGTAGGGCTCCTTCAGCTAATACAGGAGCATTGATCAAAGCGTTCTTTAGTGCTTGAAAGGCTGCTTCACAGGAGGGAGACCACAGGACTATTCTGGGTAGGTTCTTTTTAGTTAAATCTGTCAGGGGCTTAGCAATAGTGCTATAGTCAGGCACAAATTTTCTGTAATACCCCGCTGTCCCTAGGAAGGCCAGTACTTGGGTCTTGTTGTGGGGGGTGGGCCAATTTGCTACTGCCTCAATCTTGGCCGGTTTGGGGCGCTACTTTCCACACCCTACCCGGTGTCCCAAGTACTGGACCTTGATCATGGCCAGGTGGCATTTTTCAGGTTTCAGAGTCAGGCCTGTGGCCCGAATCTGATCCAATACGGCCTCTACGTGTTTTAGATGCTCCCCCCATGTCTCACTATAGATCGCAATGTCATCCAGGTACGCACAAGCGAAGTCCTGGAAGCCATCAAGGAGCCTATCCACCAAGCGTTGGAAAGTGGCTGGGGCATTCTTCATCCCGAATGGCATAACCTTAAATTGATATAGGCCAAACAGGATGACGAAGGCCGACTTGGGGGATAGCCTCTTTGGCCAGGGGGATCTGCCAATAGCCCTTGCACAATTCGATGGTGGTCAGATAACGTCCCCTGGCAATACGATCTAATAGTTCATCCACTCGGGGCATCGGATAAGCATCTGTCACTTTTCGGTCATTGAGGCGTCTATAGTCAACGCAGAACCGTGTGGGCCCATCCTTTTTGGGGACTAAGACTACTGGAGAGGCCCAGGGGCTGTTGGATAACTCTATAACTCCTAGCTTAAGCATTTCTTTAATTTCTTTCCTCATCCCCTCCTTAACTGCCTCTGGGATCCGATAGAGGGGTTGTCTGAGATGCGCTTGTCCAGGGGTTTCTACGTGGTGTGTCGCTAGCGTAGTGTATCCTGGTTCTTGGGAAAAGGTTAACTCTTTTTCTGCGAACAGTTGTCTAAGTTGGCCCTTTTCTGCAGGGTTTAGGCGCTCCCCTAGCTGGACAGCACTAAGCAGCCTGCCGGGCGCAGGACAAGCTAGGAAGTTGGGGATAGGTAGGCTGTCAGGGTCATCTGTAGCGGGGATACATATGGCTGCTTTGTTCTCTGGCCTCTCCTGATATTCTTTCAGGAGGTTGATATGAAAGGATTTTTGAATCAGAGTGACGGCCTTCGGATAGTGAGTAGTGTAGTCCACTACGGTAAGAATGTATGGGGGTTGGTTAGGGGCTGGGGTTGGGTATGGGCCCTACTAGGTCGACTGCTACCCTGCTAAAGAGTTCCTCGATCACTGGCATGGGTAACAGTTGAGCCTTAGGGTGGTCCCCTCTTTTCCCCACTCGCTGGCAGACATCACACTGTAGATATGAATATCCATTTTGCTATCTATCCTAGCTGTTCATATAAGGGTTAATTTGAACCAAGAATACATTTGGAATTATATCTCCGATTCTCGGAAATAAATTTTATCTAAAATCCTATTTACGGGAAAAGTACTGATTTCGAAATGTCATTGTCATCATTGTCATGCCCATATGCTAATTTTCCCCCCTCCCATCCTCCTATGAAAACGGGGTATAAATATAACTGACGTATGAATAAAATTTTAATTGGTTGTGGGTATAGGTTGGAAGCTGTGGTTGGTATTGAGGAACTGTCAGGGTGGGTCCTTGAACGCCAGCTGGGCCAGGATCTCCCTTAGCACCAGGTTCTCCTTTGTTTCCTTGAGCACCAGGTTCACCATTGTTACCCTTAGGTCCAGGGAACCTCTGGGGCCTTGAGGTCCCACAGGCACCAGGGAAGCCAGGGGCACCAGCAATACCAGGAGTACCAGTGGGCCAGCTTGACTGGGAGAACCGGGTTCACCACGAGCACATTGGGGTGAACCCCTGCTATCCACAATTGGATATTGAACTCTGCTATTCATTTCCAATTTCCAGAGCTCTGAATGAGTTGGCAAATATCCATCATCCACAAAGGGCCCGGGCTGATTTTATCCCCAACAAATTGGTGTCAGAAGTGGGATTCAAACCCACGCCTCCATTCGGAGTATGATGGATGTTTGGCATTACTCCAGCTTGCTTTATGTGCTATTTTATGATGTGCAATGCTGATTTTAAGCAAAAGGTCTAAATTGAGGGAATATTAAAAGTACATGTAAAGGTGATGATGAATAAGAGAAAAAAAAATAGAGGTTATTTAAGGAGGGGGCTACAAATTCTAGAACTAACATGATGTCTCTGCATGTATGTTTGTTTGAATAATGAGCCCTTTATTTTATACTTGGACAAAAGTACTATAAGCCCACTACACTTTTTAATGAGAGGGGGATGTATGATTGTTTATATGATGAGCCCTTTATTTTCATATTGGGACAAAAAGTCACTTCATTCAAAACGTCAAACACCACATTCTTTCTGCCCTGTGTGTTTGTTGCAGAGAATTTATGTTGTAAATGGAGATGTTTTAAATTGGAGAGCAAAATTTAGAATTGTTGTATGGGGATGCTGAGATTTTATTGATTGGGACCCAAACTGTGCAGAAGTGGGTTTGAAATTTTGGTCATGGAATGTAGGATCAGAAAACCATGGACAAAGGTTTTTACCTGTGTTGATATGACTTTTGGTAACTCAAATTGACCGGTCAAAATTTTGCCATGCCTTTAACATGGAGTAGTATAAATATTTTGAGTCTTTGAGAGTTCTGACAAATGCAGGTGATACCATGTCTGTGTAATCTGGTCCAAATGTTTTATAAGCGTATAAGAGAGAAATTCTATTGACAGGGTACGTATGTTGCAACTGGTTAATGCACGTGTTATACAAATGTTTAAGTCAAACGCTTTATATGGCCGTACGGGATCCCTTCTTTAAAAAGAAAAAAAAACTTTTTAAATAAATTTGATACAAACTAAAATTGGTATACCCTACAATAATATGTTCTGAATACAGCTGTTAAAAGTTTATTCTGTGTAAATGGTGATTGTGATAAATGTGTGTTTTGGTTACTAATTTTGAAGTATGCAGTTTGTCATGTATGTTAATGGGTATTTTGCTGTGTTATTTTAAATTATATTTGAATGTTTGTCTCAGTATTGATACAGATGGAAATGGCAGCGTAATAATCTATTAAATAACTGATTTATTATTGAATACTAGTCCAAGAGCAATATGAGTTGCAGTCTTAAAAAAAAAAAAAAAAAAAATAACAGGGGGGAGGTGGGAGGCAGGGCTGTTTTTGTAAGTTTTAGCTGATTTCCAAAATTCTGTTGCAATAATGGACTACTTGCCAAAATTCGACTTTCCTGTCCAGTTGCCAGGTTCTCTGATCTAATCTTAAAGCAGTACTGCTTGCATAGTCTGCAGACATGCATAATGCACAAACATGGGAACCTACATTATGTCTGTGTTTCTTTTGAGGGACACCGAGTGTGACATTTATTAATTTATTTTGGATTAATTGCCTGTCCATGAATAAGTTTTTTGTATTGGCATGCCTGCTGGATATCTGCTACATTCGCTGTGTTCTGTGTTATAAGATGACATGTGTGATATTACAATGAGTATGAAGAATATTTAAAGAATATTTGCATGTCATTAACACAAGCCTTTAGTGTCTTTTTACAACAGATTAAATGCTGATCAGCTCACGAAAAAGGGGCCCCTGAGAAAGAAAAAAAAAATATCATCTGCTTTTCAAAATCGTAGATCCACGTTTCCAATTTTAAATGGCTCTCTCTCTCTCTCTCCGTATTATCAGGGGAGTATTTAGAGTTAACTCTACTTTTAAAGTGCATTGCATTATTTAAGTCAAAGAAAAAGAAAAAATTGTTATCTTTAACATAAACAATTGTTATGTTATATGGTTATATAACAAGAAATGTATAGGATAGGTTTTTCCAAGATTAATATTTATCTAGTATGCCTCATTGATTATAGCAAAATGATGAAAGGGTATTTTTAATAGCAATCAGATAATTTCTTTTGAGGCAATTCTAAACTACTGTATTATATTTGTATTGGTATATTGAAAGCATTTTGCAGACCCAGAAGAGAATAAATAATATAATAGTTATAAAAGGAATTATACTATGGGAAGAGATCACCCTATTAAATCGCTAAGGGGTTAAACTCATTTTTGATAAGCATATAAAATTTAGTTTTTGTGGTTAGACTTTTGATACTCAATTTGAACTCAATTGAAGTATTACAACCATATCCTGGCAGGTATAGGAAACAGCTGCAATATGATTTTAATATTTGCAATATATTAGTGTTCTGACAATGGGAAAGTACCTAACCGCATGTCTGCATTACACCTATGACCCAGACTGTCAGAATTGCAAACCTTATATGAAGACTCTGCTTTCACTGTTTATGTATACACCCCTAGACAACTGCTATGCTATACATATACAATAAATCTTCAAAAGCTTATTAATATATCTGTGTGGTACACAAAGAGGGGGTGTGAGTTAGGTAATCTCGACCTGCATGTGGAATATGCTTCCTCCTTGTTCACTTTTGGGCAAACTGTTGGTCTGTGACTGGCCCGCTTTGACCCCAACTGAATTTCTTGGGAAGATTCATGAGAAAGATACAGCAGGTTGTTTTGATATAAAGAAAGAGGGAAAAGTATGTTGTATCGGTCACAAAGGATTGTGATCTTAAGCAGGCGAGACACGGACATTTGGGAGGTGATAGGAGATTGAATCAGAAAAGTTTTAGAGGCAGAGGTAGAGGATTTGATCAAAGGGTCTAACTTTTGTAGAGGTGGTAACTTCAGCAGTGTTTTAATTGTGGATAGCAGGGGTTCACCCCAAGGTGCTCATGGTGAACCCGGTTCTCCCGGTCAAGCTGGCCCCACTGGTACTCCTAGTATTGCTGGTGCCCCTGGCTTCCCTGGTGCCTGTGGTGCTCCTGGACCTCAAGGCCCCGGAGGTTCCCCTGGACCTAAGGGTAACAATGGTGAACCTGGTGCTCAAGGAAACAAAGGAGAACCCGGTGCTACGGGAGATCCTGGCCCAGCTGGTGTTCAAGGACCCACCCTGACAGTTCCTCAATACCAACCACAGCTTCCAAACTATACCCACACCCAACAACCCCAGCCTAACTGAATACACAGATGGTTCATGTTTTTAATACTTTATAGTTTTGAGTGATAAAACAGTATTAATGCTGGCTCTTAGAGGATGTACAAGCTGAAGTTGGGACATAGACATTGTTTGCATAGGCTGCGCAATGTGAAATAGCTAAAATAAAATAGGATAATAATAAGTATGCTTAGTCAATTTGTAACGTGGTATCATAGAGGCATCTACAATAAAACACGTGGGTTTCCAGGACCTGACAAGTGAGGGCAACTTAATCTAACATATGTCTACAGTTTGCTGTCCCTTCCTTATCAGAGGTCACTTGCAACCTTAACACAGCAAGACAACTCTTCCGAAACCTGTATTAAACAAAGCACTTTAAAACAATAGTAATTCATTTTGTTTCTCCTATTTCATTCCTAGTTGTTCTGAAAAAAAAAAGATTGTTTAAGTGAGATAACTGTACAGTATTAAAACATGATCACACACATACAGAACTGGTGGTATTTTGGACATCGTGATCTATAAAAGGTTTCGGTTTCCAAAGATGTTATCGGGGTCCACAAAATTTCTGACAGACTTCAGCATTCCAATTTTATTAAAGTAATTAATTGAGATTATCAAATCAAGGTTTAAGTTTAAGAACAGCATTTTATTGGGAATTATTCCAATATGTATATGTTAGTGTTTTAGTACTCAATAAGTATTTATATAGAATGAGTGCTTCTCTCATCCATACAAAGGCATTCTAAAGGGAAATTATGTATTAAAATTGTATAAAGGACAAATTCAAGGAATTATAAGCAAAACTGAGAGAAGTACATGTTACACTAGTTAAGAGTTTAACTTTAGTCTCTAATTTAAATTTAGCCTAGATAATTAATTTATTGATGTCGTACTGATCCTTGTGTTTGTATGATTATGGAGACCGTACTGGAGTATTTGTGCCGTCTGATATTTGGGACTACACACCAATCTCTCTGGCTGACCTACCTGCCTACCTACCTTTTTCACAATTAAATCTGTTTGGTCAAAATCCATGCTGGCCGAAGAAACTGAGATGCTTACTTATGAGGACATAAACTAACTTGGAAAGTCCTGAAGGTGCAGTGCTGTCTAATGCCACTATTTCTGTATTACCCTTTCAACAATTGGGGTGTTGCACAGAGTATTGTGGTGAACATCCAGCAAACAGAAGAATTAAGAACTATGTGGAAGCTGACATTGTCTTGTTGTCAGCCATATTGCTACCCTTAGCTATGTTATGGTGTCTAAGCTTATGGAACAAAGTTTATGGAGTCTAAGATTCTTTATACTCCATGAAAGACTTATTCTGTTTTTCTGGACTCTGCTGGACTATTGAACTACTTTGTTATTTTTATTTTTGTAGAGTTAGCCGGAGAGAGAGGAAGTGTTAGCTTACTCAGGCATGGATGTACTATGTGTGTCATTGATGTATGTTGGGTGTACCAAGGATGGATTTCCATTTATTAAGTGTGGATATGATTGGACCATCGAAATAGGGATGTGATTAGGAGGCATAGGACGCAAGGTCATGATTGGGATTATTGTTAGTGTAACGAGAATATACCCCTACACGCAGGATCCAGCTAAACAGAGGCAAATACAGAGGAGAGATACGTCTACCGGACCTTAGAATGGCCGGACTCGACGTATATGAGAGGAGACAGAGCCAGGAACAAACCGAGGTCAAGGGCACAGAGAGGCAGCGTAAACTAGGACAAGCCGGGGTCTGGTACACGGAAAACAGCAAGCCGGCAAACAGTACAGATAAGGATAAAGCGAAAACGAAGTCAGAATACGAAGCCAAAGTCAATGCGAGAAAACACAACTGAACACCACAAGCGCTAAAGGGAACTGAAACAGAAACCACGATAGGGCAACGAGCTAAGGGAAAAAGGTAAGTTTAAATAGCTTTAAAACGAAAGTGATTGGCTCCTGTCACTTCCACACCCCCTATAGGTAATTGTACAGGGAGTGTGGTATGACAGGAGCCAATGGGAGCCTTTTGGCAATTAGGCTCCCACTGTCTCTTTAAGAGCGCGCCGCGAGTCTCTTAGTTTCAGGCGCGCGGCTTGAAGAGAGGACCGCGACCGGCCCCCGGTTAAGGTAAGTAACGCTACAGTACCTCCCCCTGAGGACACGCCCCCCGGGCGGGTAGGACCAGGCCTGGCAGGAAAACGAGAATGGAAAGAGCGCACAAGACGGGGAGCATGGACAGCATCAGCCGAAATCCAGCTGTGCTCCTCAGGCCCATAACCCTTCCAATGTACCAAGTACTGAAGTCGACCCCTAAGGAAACGAGAGTCAAGAACAGCAGACACTTCAAACTCCTCATGACCCTCCACCGAGATAGGAGGGGGAGGAGGAGTATGCCGGGTATAGCGGTTGCGTACGAAAGGTTTCAACAATGAAGTGTGAAAAACATTAGGAATACGCAGATTCTTAGGCAGGCCTAAGGCATAAGAAACAGGATTAACCTTATGTATAATACGATAAGGTCCAATGAAGCGGGGAGCCAATTTCATAGAAGGCACCCGGAGACGAATATTCAGCGTGGAAAGCAAAACCCTGTCCCCCACAACATAGGACGGAGCTGCTCTGCGATGCTTGTCAGCCTGAGCCTTCTGGCGAGTAGCAGAGTCCACCAAAGAGCGCTGAACCTGCTCCCAAGTATTACGCAAACCAGCCAAATGCTCATCCAGAACTGGCATGCCCTGTGAGGAGAATGCAGCCGGAAGAACAACGGGATGCTGGCCATAGACAACGTAAAAAGGGGTCTTGCCGGAAGAATCATGAGTGGCGTTATTCCGAGCGAATTCAGCCCAAGGAAGCAGGTCAGACCAATTGTCCTGATGGTGAGACACAAAACAACGGAGGTATTGCTCCAGAGACTGGTTGGCACGTTCAGCAGCCCCATTAGACTGGGGATGATAAGCGGAAGAAAATGAGAAAGAAATACCCATTTCTGAACAAAAGGCCCTCCAGAACCTGGAAATAAATTGGCTACCCCTATCGGATACAATAGATACGGGAATCCCATGTAATTGAAATACTTCTCTAGCGAAGATATGAGCCAGTTCCTTGGATGTGGGCAACTTGTGAAGAGACACGAAGTGAGCCATTTTGGAGAACCGATCCACTATCATCAGGATTACTGTGTTACCATTTGAAGGGGTAATTCAACAATAAAATCCATGGACAGGTTAGACCAAGGTCTCTCGGGAACGGGTAACGGATGCAACAGCCCACAAGGAACTCTACGGGAGGATTTCATACAGGCACAAGTAGTACAAGCACTTATATAGTCGGTGACATCCTTTCGTAAGGAATCCCACCAAAAATACCGAGAAACAGCTGACACCGTTTTGGAAATACCAGGATGTCCAGCGGTCTTAGTATCATGATATAATGACATAATATCCCATCTCTCAGGAACATCAACAAACAGTTTATCATTAGGCCTCTCGCTAGGTGCCATGCTTTGTTTCGCTTGTATGGCCTGCAAGAGGGACGAGGAAATAGACAAAATAGTAGTAGCTATTATCCTGTCTGGGGAATGACAGGAGTAACATCAATCTCCTGTTTGTCAGTAGTTTCGAACTGTCTGGACAGAGCGTCTGCTTTAGTGTTGCGATCACCTGGCCTATAGGTGATAATAAAATTGAAACGGGACAAAAATAGTGACCACCTAGCCTGCCTGGAAGACAATCTTTTGGCTTCGCTAAGGTAGGATAGGTTCTTGTGATCCGTAAAAATGAGGATGGGATCCTTAGTTCCTTCTAACAAATGTCTCCACTCTTTAAGTGCTAAAATAATAGCAAGGAGTTCGCGATTACCCACATCATAATTTTTCTCTGCTTTGGACATTTGTTTAGAAAAGAAGCCGCATGTATGCAATGGCTTCTCAGGCGACTCTCTTTGGGATAAGACAGCACCTACCCCAATATCCGAAGCATCAACTTCAAGAATATAGGGCAGTGAGGGGACAGGATGCTGTAAAATAGGTGCAGAAGCGAACGTAGTTTTAAGAAATTCAAAAGCCTGAAGTGCCTCGGTAGACCAAACACGAGTATTGCCATCCTTT